CCCATTCATGACTGCATTATTGGAATGGCTATCGAACAGGTATTAGACGGTGACATCATGCGTTTACTCTTAACACTGCAAAGAATTAAACATTTCTGCTACAGCTAATAATAACAATAGTAAGTAGTAGTAATAATAATAATAATAATAATAATAATAAATATGATATAATTGAAGAAGGAAATTGTACAAAAATACGAGAGAGTGGTTGACACATCGTCAGTATGACTTTGTTTATGCTGGAGTGAACATTAGTCTCCCTGCTCTTCCAAACATTTCACAATAATTCATTGTGTTTGGTGCTTGTAGATTGAGTGTGACTGGAGTGGTAGAGGCAGTGATTGAGCAATGGTATTTAATAACATACATGTTAATAATAATACATGTTATTAATAATATGTACTATTATATATTATAACATATATGTTATTAAATACATACATGTTAATAATAATACATGTTATTAATAATAACATGTACTATTATTATTTATAACATATATGTTATTAAATACCACTGCCTCAACCGCTGAATATTGTGAAATGTTTGAAGAGCAGGAGACTAATGTTCACTCCAGCATAACAAAGTCACACTGACGATGTGTCAACCACTCCTTCGTATTTTTGTACAATTTCCTTCTTCAATTATATCGTATTTATTATTATTATTATTATTATTGTTATTATTATTATTATTATTATTATTATTATTATTATTATTATTATTATTATTATTATTATTGTTATTAGCAATAGCAGAAATGTTCGATTCTTTGCAGTGTTCAAGAGTAAACACATGATGTCACCGTCTAATACCTTTCCTAATAGCCGTTCCAATATGCAGTCATGATGAGTTTACATTATTTATTCTGTAGTTTAATAGCAAATAATGAACAAACAAAACACTCACCACACTGATGGTGGGAGGGCTGGCTGCCAGTTGTGGGGGTCGGAGGGAGGGTAGTAGGGACTCGCAGTGGTGGAGTCTGCGTTATTTAATAACATACATGTTGTTAACATACATGTTATTAAATAACATACGTTATTAAAGCATAACATTGTATATATTTAGTACAATTTACGACGTTTTCATGTATTTTATGATTATTCATGGTTCACCAAGTTAAGGAAGCAGTATTGTAATATATTTCCCTACAATATATTGGGGCACCAAACATTCACGGTTTTTCAACATTCGCGAGGCTCTTGATCCCCTAACCCTCGCGAATGTTGAGGGAGACCTGTATATATATATATACAACTCACTGTATTGAACACAACAACCGCACTAAAGTTATCATAATATTGTTACCACTTTTGTTTATTACAATAAACATGCACAACTTTTGTATAATACTAATGTTCTATCATATACGTATTTACATATGTACAATCACTGGACATGTTTTTAGAACTGCTGCAGCTTGTGGAACTCCTTGAAACAAGCACCATGCACAAGGTACCTTAGGGTTCCTCGCACATAAACCCAGTGTCCT